TGAAAAACGGCGTACGGTATCTCAAAGAGACTTCCCAATTCGCCCGAGCGTCTCTAATCGGAGGAGAACGCGACAAATGGGGCTTCAGGGACGCACGCTCCGTACATGGATCCCGTGGTCAATGCATCGCGTGTTGCTGCGATTCGCGATCGTGTTACACTTGAGCGTCTCAATGCTGAAGATTAAATTGCACGACAGCCGGAGGAGGAGCATTCAGTATCGGGAGTCGAGTCGCCAAGGATCCAAGATCGAATCGCCGCTCCCCGGTTTCGCCACGATCGCGTGCCGGTCCGGCGAGATGAGACCGAGACTCTGACGAAGTTAATTGATTAAATTAGTCCGATGAAGAGAACGACCCGCGTTTGAATCGATTTCTTCCTCGCGGGCGGCCATCGGGGGGGGGGGGGCGACGAGAGCGTCGAGCCGACGCGCGGCCTCCTACACGCCGGAAAAATGCGCCGCCGCGGAATATCGTCGAGGCACTCTCGACAACGTCGTAGTACGAGGACTGGCCAATCGCCGCTTGTGTACGAGCTCACGCCATGTGCGACGTCGCGCCGGCTGATCCATTCTCCTTTCGAGCGCGTCGGCGTACGAGCCAACAACACTTGGATCGTTGACGCGCCGCGATGACGCAGCCGGCTTCTGCTTTTCGCGGCGTTACCGGGAGAGAGACAGAGAGACGAAGAGAAATAGATAGAGGAAGAGAGAGAGAGAGGGGGGAGAGAGAGAGAAAACTTCGTGAAAAGCACGGGCGGCGCAACTGGTGCTGAATGCGCAGAAACACAGCTGCCGGCGGCCAGATTCGGATCAATCAATCACTTAAAGACCAACCCCTATTCGGCTTGGCGGCACCCTAATCCGGCGCATCTGGCTTTTCGCGAACCTCCCTCCCGTTGGCTCTGGACACGACTAGGGACCGCATGTATTTGCCTGCAGCGGGAGAGAGTTGATAATTTTTTCCCCCTTTTTCCGTACCATGGAGCCCATGGGCGATTTGCGGCGAGTCCCTCGTCGGGACGTTTCTCGTTGCGTAAAATGAAACACGTATTACGAGGGGAAGCAAATATATATGGGGAGGCACCTAACGAAACATTCGAGAGACAAACGAGATTGCTGAGCTTCGGATGAAGCTTGGAGAGAATGGAGCTGCGCGTTCTTTCTCGTCAGAGTTCGTGGGGTCTTTTCCTGAGGTCCGCGAAGTTGTTTGGGTCCCTTGGGACTGTGGGTCGAGAATACCTCAGCCACGAAAAATTTCGACCTGAGAATGAAAGAGAGTAGAGATAGGAGCTGCGGCGTAGCTGGCGGTGCGTTGAGATATAATTGCGCGCGCGCGCGCGCGCGCGTGTGTGTGTGTGTGTGTGTGTGTGTGTGTATGTGTGACAATGTTAATACAATTATATACCACACACATACACAAACATTAACGTAATATGTTAATATATTATAATTAATACGCGCAATATTAATTACAACATATTAATGCAATTGACTCGCACCAATTGTAATGTATAGCTTAACGTTACCCACTGTGAATGCGGTCGGATAATTAATAGAACACTCCACGGAGGGTGAGAGGAGAGAGAAAGAGAGGGTTAACGGGGATCGCGTTGGAATCCCCGATACGAATCAACTTCGCTTCGCTTCGACACGTGCTTTCACCGCACCGTCGCAATTGATAGAAGCGCGCAACCTGACGAGTCCTCGGTGACGATGAAGAGGAAAACAGGCGTAAAAGTTATTTATAAACGGCCCGGCGGGAACGGCTTTTCCGACAATCGACCGCGCGCGCGATACTCTCGTGTAATCCGGAAACTCGCTGGTCGAGGCTAATGCGTGTTGCATTGAGAAAAAGCAGCCTCGTCACGCGAAATGTTCCCTCGGCGCTTCTTCACTCGCGTTGCTGTCCGAGAAAAAACCAACCGTCCCGTTTTCCTTCGTTCTTTCACCCTCTCTCTTTGCGCCAACAAAGTCTCGCGATGGGAATCGTCGCGATCCGAGCGAGCGATAATTATCGAGCGCATTTATGATGATTAATGCGACCCTCTCAACCCTTTTACTATTTCAGAGCTGACATACGTATATATCGGCTTTGCGAGTTTGCCGAGAAATACCTTCTTTTACATGTCAGCATCAAATATAACTGTTTTCATTCATCCAGAGATATGAAAATGTTTATAGGAACAGCTTTCTAAAGAAAATAACTTTTTTTATCTTCACCATTGGTTGCAAACTTTAATTTGTGGAAAATAATTTTTTTCCTCTCCTTGTGTAAAACTACATACATTTTACAGTAAAATGGGAACGTGGAGTTAGCTTTGTTTTTAAGAAAAATATGTTCATTTTAGTCAATGGCCTATATTCTGAATTCTCTTTCATCACTAAAGGTGACTCTAAAAGTGGCTTACAACCAATTAGGAGGCTTATAAGCTACTTTTGGAGTCACTTTTAGCGATAAAAGAAAGTTCAGAATATAAGTCAACGTCATTAAAAAGACATATTATTCAAGATATTTCTAGGCAGTCCATAAGCCGCGGTGAATCCCTCCTCGGAACGTTTCTCATTGCGAAAAATAAGACTCACATTTCGAGGGGTAGCCAATACATGCGACTGCACCTGAGACGAAACATTCGAGAAAAACGAAGTCGCCGAGCTTCAAGTAGAGCTTGGAGGAAGCACAAGTGCATTTTTTCTCGCCAGGGTTCGTGGACTCTCCCTGAGATACATCCGCGAACCTGTTCACATCCCTCGGCTACAGGTCGAGAATACCTCAGCCGCAAAGAATTTGGGCCCCCTAAGGATGAAGTCAGATAAAAAAGTATAATAGAGGAAAAACCTAACAGAACAATACCTAGTGATGCGTTGCGAAATAATCAACATGCGACTATGTTTCAAAGCAATCATGAACCGCAAGCAGGTGCGTTGAGCCGAAATCGACGTCGAAGAGTAACGTCTCCCTCGTCTTCGCCCTTCGGCGCGCTTATCGTCCTCCCACAGTCGTCATCATAATCTTCGCGCGAGATAATCATGCGACGGAGTTATGCAGCCTGCGTGCGACGTGATAACCGCGTGTTTATACGCACAATCTTCACCTAGACTGAAGAGTCCTTTGTGAGTCATTCTTCAGGTGGATCTAGTTTTATCTCAACAGTAACAAAGAGGCTTCCGCATGCGGGTGTCGGTTACCGGTTGTCGATAAGAGAATATCGTAAAAATACGCTTCAAGTGTACAACCACAAGTGTACAAACCACTCAAAACGATACACAACACACGTGTGTGTGTGTGTGTGTGTGTGTGTGCGCGCGCGCGCGTGTATTTGCGTCTTCTCGAGTGTGAAATTAGAAGGCCCGCGCTATGCGACCGCGAGTAATCGAGGGTCGATTACCGAAGACGGTTTTCTCGTTGGACTCTTATCTCTCCGCTTGCCCGAATAAAGTACTCGGCAATCGCGGCTGCATTCTGATTGCGTTTTTCCAGTAGCGCGCGAATCGAGCGCTCGGAATATCGATCGGCGGATCAGAACGGTGTGGAGGAAAAAGATTGGAATTACAACGCGGATAGTCGAGTGGACTGTTAACAGTGTGCACATTGCATTTCGAGAGACGGAGGTGCCCCCGCGCTTTGAACGAATTTCCGATTACATGGCACCAGCCACGGTCGCTAATACGCAAAGCGTTCGCAGCTGATAGCCGGCAGCAGCGTGGAATGCTCGCCGTCTAAATATAAAGACGGCTGCGCACGATTACACTGTCGTTAAGACCGTCATCACGCTTATCTCTGCCGGACGTTGTCTCCTATTTAATGAGTCCACTCGTGCGACATCTCGCGGTCCCAGCGACCGTTCATTGTTAACCCCGGCGGAAATAAAAGGAGGATAAATACAAAACCTACTTGACACGGCGCGGCTCGCGCGCGCAAGAGCCAAGCTTCTGGCGAGCGGTTCGTGTGTGCTTCCCCCCCGGCTTTTTGTTATCGAGGTCGCGGCATTGTTTCCCCCGATATTGAGCGGGATGTGAATGTAATTAGCCGACCGCGGTCGTGAGCGGGAGAAAAAGAAAGTAATTAAGCGCGAATTCCGCAAAATCATACGCAAACGCGCATCGATGTATTTATATATATATATATATATATATTGGGTTTCCATCAGAACGGTTCAAATATTTTTTTTAACTTCTCCGGCAGTCTTATTTCACCGCCGCTTCCAACTCTTGTCGTAACCGATGCTGCTCAGCCTGACTCTCAACCGCGACACTTCGGCGCGCTCCTTACTTCATTGTGTCTAAGCCTCATTTTGCAAGCAAGTGTAGTCCGCGCAACACCGTTTCCGCACACATACACGTACGAATCGTGACTCACAACTTGCACGCGTGTGTGCGGGTGTGTTCTTATGCCGTCGTATCGCATATAAAATCGATGACCCAGTTCGAAATTCAGTCGGCGACCGAAAATTTCTTGTTCCGAGAAGGCGGAGCTTATTAATGAGGAACTTCCGGATCTCTTGGAGCCGCTCGTCCCGCATCTTGCATTCCTTCTCGTTACTACCTTCGAAATACTTATCCGCGAAGAGAGACCGTCGCTATTGTTGACAAAGCGGCCTGCGCGACATTTATTTGCACAGATCGCGCCACAACTGCGCACATGGAAGCGATACTACGACGTACGGCGACCACATTCGCAGCTATACGTGTGTGCACGGCTGGCCGTTCGCCAAAGGTTATCCTTGAGCATTCACTTCTCCTCCGCTCGACGCGACCGTTGGTCGCTCGCAGATGTATAGAGGGTTCCTCGCGCGAAATTGAAATCATCTTCGTTGTCCGCGTTGTTCCCCCCCTTCTCGCGTCTCCTCGCGAGTCCGACACCCGGCTGATTCGGAACGCGACGTCGCTTCTCTTTTCGTTTGGTCGCGCGAGGCTGATAATATCGCGGCTATAGGATTGATCATCTACGTCGATCTCGCACTGGCTGACCGATAAGACGCATTTTCTTCTCTGCTTCGCAGGAGGCCGAACAGCTGCTAGACAAGAGCAGGGATTGGATCTACGAGTGGAGCTCTCGACCGGATCAGGCGCCACCAAAGTACGACGAATTCAGATCCTTGAGTCGACGCTCAACGCCGGGTTGACTGGAAAGTCGTGAACGCGTTAACACTAGAATTACCGACGATCAACGCGATCTATTTGCCAGGACTGTCGAGACGGCAGCTTTTGGGAAAAATATGTTGCGCAAGGATGATTTATTTCTTCCAGAGTTTGAGTCTGCATTCGTTGAAGCTATCAAATCGTTGTATCGTTGTATCAGTCTGAGTGATTACGAATATTCTGGGCAAATCTTTTTCTAAGAAATTACAAATCGGTCCATTCTGACCGCGCTTGGCAGTTCTTAAAATATTCACGAATACCGATCGTTGCTGATTCGTTTACATATTAACTGCCATGGTCGTCAGCGATGCTGCGGCGTGCGCGACATAGCCGTGTTTCCCTAAATTATCTATAAAATAAAATTAATTATTAAATATATATAGCAGCCGATATAGAATCGTTGAAACGAGCTGACTGACATATCTAATTGCATTTATTTATCGCATATTCACATTGAGTTGAACATCGAAATAATTAATTATAATTAGGAAATCAACGTACGCCAGTCAACGTGTGTTGTAACATATCGCCGAGTATTAATCTTGGCATAGTCGAGCGAAAGATTTCTTCCGAAAGAAAGAGTGAGGGAGGGAGGGAGGGAGAGAGAGAAAGGGAGAGAGAGAAAGAAAGAGAGAGAGAGACGCTCTCTGTACTTACATTGTATGCACATAGAGTTTCTCTGGCGTTTGGTGGTCGCAATACCGTCCCATTGTGTTGCAGAGACTGGAAATTCAAGCATCCGTTGGGCATGGGTAAGAGGAAAACGTACAGCATCCGCACGACGAAAGTTGGAAAGAACGGCTTGTTTTCCAAGGAAGTCATCTACACCCTATTCTTCACGAACTTCTTGTCTCTGCTTATCGGGACTGGTCTTGGGTACGTGACTATCGAAAGCACGGTATCGCAATTCGCCGTCGTAATTGTCGCGTCTTTTCATCTTCGGTGAACATTAACTAAAGTTACAATTGACAAAGGATCATCGGTGTTTCCATAGAATCATTGCGCGATAATTCAGCGGCGGAGTCGCTATCAAAATCCGACCGTGAACTTCGTCTCGTTTTGTTGCAGCGTTCTGCTCACCAGGCGGGGCCTCTTCATGTCCCGCGTCGCTATCGAGTAAAGGACATGATTGTGGGAGTGTCTGCATAGAAAATTGGTCACGCTTGAACGGAGAGAAGGGCCGGAGATCGAGATGCAAGAAAGACTGAACATGCCGGCGGGCGATCGAGCCTAAAACAGAAAATACGCAGCACATAATTCGATTGTCCCGATTTAATATTTTTTAGCACTTTGTATTTTACTCCCCTTCTCCCCTCCCTTAACTGTACGGTGTACTTGTCAGATATTGCGTATATACGATGCAAGTAATACGCATTATATGCTTAGGCGACGGAAAAACTAAAGAAAAGGGAAGAAAAGTGCGAGGAGGAGAAAAAGAAGGAGGGAAAGAAGCGGCGAAAGAAGAAGAAGAAGAATGAGAAGAATCTATCGTAGTAGTATCTAAAGTTGTTGAAAGGAAAAGAAGAATGTGCGAAACATGTCCATTTTATACTGTTTCTAATACGTTTCTATGCGATAGTTTGTAGGCATAGCTTGAATAGTATTTATCAGAAAACTAATTATATATATATATATATATTACTTGTTAGAGCAAAGAATAAGGAGTGATAGAGAGACTGAGCGAACGAATGCAAGCGCAAGGGAGAGAGAGAGAGAGAGAGAGAAAGAGAGGGAGAGAGTGTGTGTTTGTTGCACGGTGTAGTAGTGAGGAGGAGGGGAATTAAGGGCACGAGGCGAGTTTGAGGGAACGAAAACACAGCTGAATAACAGCATGAGTAAAAACAGGCAAAAAAAATTGCGATCGCTGGAGACACGGGCAATTCCGGGAACGCTGGACGACTCGTCCTTTTCATGCGGGTTACGCATGACTCTTGCATTGAACTCCGAGACAACATTGAGGCTTTTTGGTTCGCGAGAATGAAGAGGAACCGTATGTCGTGTCTCTGAGAAATCCAAAGTTCAGTCGAGTCGCCACGGCAACAGCGTAATCGCGGTGTTCTTCTGCCGAATAATCGCGCGATGCTTCTCAGTAATGATCCTACCAGGAGAGTCAGAATGAGATAGTTCCTATAGAGGAAGTGTTGTTCACCCTTCTCTCGACGTCGAGATAACCACAAGCGGGCAACCGGAAAAAGGAGGGACCACGAGGGCGTGCGAGCGTGTACGAGCTCGCTTACGGTTGAATGGCGAGGCGAGATTTCAGAGTGGCGTTTTTGTACAATATACATAATATATATTATATATATATACACACACATCTCTTAATACCTCTGCAATTTTTTATAATTTCCTTGCGACAAATTCACATAGAGCGAAGACCACACGTATGACCCGCGAGTACGTTTTATAGTCTGCAATCGTTTATTCAAGACGGTCGGCTCGATCACGACGCGCAATTGTCGACTGTGGCTACGTCCCGACATTCACTGGCAATGTTGAAAAGCTGTAGTTTACGTCACTATAGATTTTCAATACTGTGCACATCGGAGCGCAGTCTGTGTCTCTTTAAAGTTTTCAAGCACGCAGTATTCGGCAGATTCACACGAACAAATCCTTTTCAAGACGTTGCGAAGATTCGACTCGGGCGTCGTGTAATTTGGTTGTCATGATTCATCGGGTTCGAACTCTTTCCTCAGCTCACCCCGTACTCTTTTTCCGTGTAATTGTTAAAAACATGCTTGGATTGTGTTCGTGTGAACGTAGAAGAAAGAATTAGACTATCACATATATATGTGACGCTGGTCTCTCACGAGATCGGTGGGAGTCACACTTGTGTGTGTGACGCCGATGGCGAACGTCAAGAGAGCGATCATTCAAGTCTTGTTCAATGTGCGTTTTCCGACCAAGAAGTTGGACGAGTTCGTGCGAGAACGTTCTGTGAGTGTATGCGACGTATGTGTGCTGGCTTTTTTTTTCTCGACGGAAATTTTGTTTTCGCGCGAGGATGATGTTTTCAGAGTTTGCGTATTTTGTTACCTTAGGCGACGAATGGAACGGAGAGCGATCAGATTACAAATAATTCATCAAAGAGATGTGGTGGTATGTGAGCGTGCTCGCAACGTGACTCTTTTGAGTTTTGATTGTAATCGATGAAGTGCGACAGATTGAGAATCTTGGGATCGCTCGTGTTAAATGATAATAGAGGAAAGAGAGAGGAAGACAGGACTAATTTTCAAACGCGAAGCGTGCAACGCACATAGCAATTGCGCGCTGTTCATTTTCGTGACTGTCAGTAAAATCGGCAGACACGTTTCCCCCCTCCCCGGATGTTTGATGAATTGACAGATTCTCCTTCTGCGCTCTTGGCTAAGTCGCGTTATTTAATTTACGGTAATGATATTCAACGTGTTTTTTCATAAGTGATTATTTTGTAATATTGTCTGTATGTCATACGCATAATAATAATAATATTCCGTACGTAGTGATGGCGTTGGTGACTCTTTGGCGTTTTGCGGGCGCTCGATCCTCTTTCGACCAAATGTGTTTCTTTTCAAAGGATATCTCTCCGCCGCATCTTTTCGCTAAACTCGGAAAGTTCCAATCGAAAATGATTTATACACAAGCGCTACGAGAAATAAAGGGTTTTGTAAATTCATAATCATGACGAGGTATTGATTTTTTTGTAAACGTTCGATATTTGTGTCGCATCAGCGCGTGGCTCGCTACTGTCGACGTGCGAGCAACGTGAAGCGATCCGAAAATGTTCGATGCGTTTCGCCGCAGTTTGGACGCGCAGTTGGACAAGTTCACGGTGCCGTAAATAGTGGTGTATGAATCGAGAAAACCTGGATTTAACCTGCCGCCCGGTCGCAGAGTCAACCGAAGTGATGAAATGATGCTGAAGATGGAGCGCAAGAACCCCAGCATTTTCACCCAGAACTTCTCATGAGATCTCATAACTCTGCAATAACTCTGCAATAACCAGAAACCGCAATAACACACACGCGGAGAAGTCAATAGCGATTCGCTTTCACCCGAGTATGTCGGACGACGAGTCGCTTGATCAGCGTGAGAAAAATGTTAAGGTTTTCGTGCGAGTTCTACCGCTTGAAAAACCATGCGACTCTTGCGCTAAAATCAGTGCGGATTGTAAGGTGAGATTTCTGCACAAATCTCTCAGTCGTTAAGCGGTTTATAGATTTTTCAAGTGTACTCGCGTGCTCATCGTCGACTGTAAAAGATTAGGGCTCTATGTACTATAATTAGCTTATAATTTATATGGGAATTACAAAAAACAGCAGGACAATAAGAACTAATTGCAGATCCAAATATGTATAAATTAGACCTGTACGAAATTGGTTTTTATTATTCTTTTGTTTTACACAATTTTGATCTTAATCAGGAGAAAACTTTAGCTTTACTTGATTTATAACTTGGGTTTCTTCTTGTATTTTTATTTTATTTATTTTGGTTTCTTTTATTTTATTGTAATTTATAATTTTTTGTTAATAATTTATCTTATTTTTTATCTTATTTCTTTCTAACATTAGTATATATTTCAGACGTTCTTTGTGAGATGTCTGCAAGATATACGGCGAGACCGAAAGTCAATGGATTCGCATCCCATCTACTGGACCTTTCCGACCGACGGAATATTCCACGAGGCGTCCCAGGACAGAGTGTATCGCACCATCGCGAAGGATCTTCTCGAAAAGTACCGACAAACGAAATCAATAAAAAACTGACACTCTTCGGAGAAAAGCATTATTCTGCGCCTATGTCGGCGATGTAATTAATTATTATTCGGAATCTAGCTCCTCTCTGTGCAATAACGACAATTACGTTATTTTGTGCACTTGATAAATATACAAGAAATACGCACATAAGAAATATGCAAGTTAACTAGATAATGATAATGAACAATAGCCAACATTAATCGCCGAATATCGCCGACAAAATAAGAGATGCGTGGCGCGCATCGCTCGCGAAAAAGTAATCAAGTGAAATAAATCAAATCTATAGAGGAAGCGGTACATGTAATAAACGTGACGCGCGAAACGATTGAAGAGTTTTAGACGGCGTAAACTGCGTGCTGATCAGCCACGGGCAGACCGGGTCCGGGAAGAGCTTCACGATAGGCGGTCTCAGGAACGACTGGAGGGTACCAATCTGCCTTGGAATATCTCCTGCTCTCGAGCTTTTGTCATTCATTCGGCTGATCATTCGGTCTGCGATTTGCTCATTAACCCTCGCCGATCGCAGCACAGGGGGATAGCCGCACGGCTCTTGTCCGACATGTTCGCGGTGAAGGCGAATCGACGGAAGTTCAACGACATACGCTATCGTCTAAGCTTCGTCGAATTGAGAGGTAAACAGGTGGTCGATCTTCTCGCCGTGCGAAGGCCGAATGTCGTCAACGTCAACGTGGGCGACCTGTTCGAGGTATCGAGTCATTTCGATGTAAGAATCTCCCACGACGCAGACACGAAAATCGGTGTAATTGTGATTCCAGAATATCACCGCGGTGAGCACGAAGAGCGAGCCGGAGGCCTTGAGGAAATTATTCGAAGGAGAGGCGAGACGATCAACTACGACGGCCGCGTCGTATCCGGTATCGCACTTGGGCACCGCTGTCATCACTTTTCACGTGTCGAACACGAGCTTGATCGTGTCACAGGCGGTCGTGGCGACAGCAAAAGTAAATCGACAGGTTCTCGCTGGAAGTTCGCTTTCGAAGGTTGCTCTCACTTGGTGGAGAGAAGGAATTTATCTATCAATACGCGCTGAATTATCCAAGATACTCCGAGTATTTGGAATTATCTCTCTGTCACATGCAAATACCTGAAGTGCAATATTTATCAAAGATTTCTCATTATGAACCGCGATGCTAGATACACATCGTAGAGATGGCTGGCATTGGCACGGTGGGGAAATCGAGTTGCACGAAAACGGCGAGCGACGTGGGTATGGCGAATCTGATGAAGACCCAGCTGGAGCAGTACTTCTGGTATCTTCGGGAACCAAGTGCCGCGACGTACAGCGTCGCCCGCTCGAACCTATTGAGATTGTTGAAGAATGAGTTTACCGTCACCTCCATCATCCGGTACGAAGAATACCAACAACCATCGCTCGAACGTCGCAATAAGTAATCTTTCCAACAATCGGAAACGAAATGTAATGAAGCTCGAGTATTAAATCCAGCCATCATCGATACGATTTATAGTCTGCGTATTACACGTCATCTGATTGTTAATTGATAAGCGAACACCTTCACTCGTCAGTTTCATAGCTCATGTACGCGTCACAAGGGAAGACCTCATCGTCACATTGTCAACCATGCGACTGGCCATGGAAGTCGCAAGGCTGAAACCGATCAAGACGGTGCGGCACGTTCAGCCGCAGACAGAGCTGATCCTGCAGCGGCTGCAGGAGGAAGTGAATGAGCTGAGGAAGGAGCTGCTGCTGAACGATATGTTCCTTCGTCAAGAAGCACTGATGAACATCTCGAAGACGAGGATCGAGCAGATCGGTCGGGACATCACAAACTTCCTGAAGGGTTCCATTTCGGAACTGACGCTCTTCAACGTCACGCAGGCGCAGATATTGGTGAAAATCGTCAAGCAGCTGTACAACAAGTTCGTATCCTCAGTCTCTCATTAAAATCCTACAGTTCGTTGTTATATTTTTTTAACAGGCCGACGCTTTAATTAGCAATAATAAGCAAGAATAATTGAATAACTAATTAATTAGCAAAAGAAAGAGTTGATTCGGCAATCGTAAATAATATGATAGAAGGTAGTGGAGGTACTTTGGTGTTTTTTGAATATCTTAGATTAGTCGCGAAAGAAGATGACGAAGAGAAATTGAGCGAAGCGTGCGAGGATGTGATGAACTCGTTGATGCCAGCAGACACCACTTTGCCCGCAACATTGTTGCAGGTATTCGAACTACAACGATATGTGTAAATTCAGTGAAAAAGAACTACTTGTACTCATTAGTTGTATCAAATTGCAAGATATAAGTCACACCGAATGCTGAATTATTACAGAACGCTGAAACATTTAACGCAATAGACTCGAGTAATGTTTTTGACAAACGCGAAGATGTTACGTCACAAATGTATACAGACATTGACGATAAACAGGTAGTAGAAGAAGTAGGAATATTAAATAGACACGGCGTCTCGTTGAGACCTGTTATGCAGATGGATGACACTGCAATGAGACTAAAATATCCAATTGCGCTGCAACCAGATGAATTGCAAACGGTCGAACTCACGTACGAATGTCAGGATAAAACGAGAAGAACGTTCCGTCAATTGCAACGAATAATGGAACGTACAACCAAAGTAAAAACGGAGGTTGTATGCGTATTTGCGGAAATTTTTTACTTCCGCGTAAAACGTTACAAAATTTGGGAACAACTGTACGCTAGGGCTTTCACATCTTATTAACAATGTCCAACTATTCAGGCAATATTAAAAAAATATCCAGATTTTATATTCAATATTTTTCATTTATTAATATATTCTTAAAAAATTATATATATATATATATTAAAAAATATATATATTATTTTAAAATATATATATGTATTTTTATACATATTATTTTCAGTTTTTTTTTTCATGTTTTTTTTTTCTCTCTCTTTGTCTCTATTACTCTTCAAATCTGATAACCTTGGCATGTATATGTATATTTTTTATGGTCAAATAATTTATAACATACTTTTGAAATTTTATACACTTTCGGATAAGTCAGGACGAAAGATACGGATGCGCTAAATGTCTGATTGTTGCGTCTCATTGTAGGAGAGACACAGGAGAAAGCAAGCACCGTAAAACATTTGTGTCGTTTCAAGTGCAAAATGATTATCTTGCGACAGCTCGTCCATAAAAATGTTAAAACGATAGGAATGACTTGTAACAACTCCCTACACATGTCACAGCATTAGGACAATAAAATCGTGCGATGAACTTATTTATCACTTTTACTTTCGGACTCGGTTGTTTCAGGACAATTGACGACAGATTAATGAATCTGCCGTCGTTGATTGATCTGTATGTCGTTACTATTAAGTCATTTTCGATAAGAGAAGCGTAGACATCCATCAAAATATCCTGCCAACGTCGCGGCGATGCTTCATGTGAATGCGGGTGAGGAAAAAGAAAGAGAAAAGTCGTTCCCTCTTAGGGCGGGATTACGATGAACTTTACGTAAGGGGACGCGACGTTACGTGAATTTGACGTTTGAGGTTATATTAGTGTGAGAGACATTTTTCGAAGAAGAATTCAGTTTGGCGACGGGCATAACCTGTGGTGGAAGAACTCCGTTTTTGAAAGTGTCACATGAACAGTTCGACTTGATTGATCGTAACCAGCCGCATAAAACAATGTGTTTTAGGTTTTGTGTCACTTCACGTCCCGTCGCGTCCCGTTACGTTAAGTCCATCGTAATCCCGCCCTTACATTGGTAAGTGCCGTCTCCTTCGAATTTTCGAACGGATAAATACAGATGTTGAATAAAATCACGCGCGGGCTCGATAGTGCACATATTGCATATGTAAATAAATATACAATCACGTCATGTTTCCATTGATCCAGAAACGTTTCAAAGGTGACGCCTTATCAAGAAAAATCTGTTTTAAAATCGCTATAAATATTGATAAAATCATAATAAATATTGATAAATAATCAGCGCGGATAAATAATAAAGCGCGAATGAAGGATAACAATTATGCGGGTCGGCCTCTAGATGTCGCCTCTAGAGAGGCTTCTTCGAGCTCAAGAGGCGTATCAAAGAGCATATACGATTAGAGTAATATGTAGTGTTGTAAGTGATGTGTCGTTATCGTTGGTCTCGTCGAGAGTTATCTCCTGCTGAAAATATTAATATATCTAGAACGGTCTGCATCTGAACAGTTCGGACAATTCGAAGCGTCATGCTCGTCAACAGCATGAAGAAATCTCAGTGCGAAGAAGCCGCACGTCAATTGACGAGCGAGGAAAAAGAATACGCGGCCAAGTACTTGAATGAGACTGATGAAGGCAGAGCGATCGCGGTCGCAGAGATCCGACGTTGGATTTTGGAAAATAACAGCATGTACTCGCGTACTGGTAAAAATGATATTACTTTGCTACAGACGCAGAAAACAATAGATAAAGTTATGCGGTGAAGCTAATTGGTAGCGGAGTACTCATAGCTCGTCGAGCGAATTATCAGCTATTTTTTATGCTCTTTTTTAGGGACTTCTTTTTAAGATACATTCGATATAGATATTGATTTTTTGATTGTATACTTTACAAACTCTCGATGATTATTAACTCGGTTTCGCTGATTGATGAACTCTTGCTTTGCCGATTCGCTCTTTTTTTTTTTTATACGGTACACCAAAAGATGGATATCCTAGCTTTTATTTAACTTGGTTCGCTTCCGCGGCGGTTGGATGTGGTTCCCATAACTACGCACCCAGCAAACACAATATTACATGTAACGTGCATGTTAGTTGTAATTTCCTACTTAACAATATAACTTATATAACATATGTATTCTTATCTTATTTTTTATTATATCATCTTATATCATTTTTTTTTATTATATCATTTTTTTCTACCAATTAATATGAATAACTTTTATCTGAAACATTTTTTTTTATTCGCCCAATATTTATTTCAAAGAGATGTTTCACCCTTTAAAAAGTCGATTGAGCATGTATAAAAAATTCGTATCCCTTGTTTTGGTGTCCGCTTTTTGTATTGTGCCGACATGTTTTCACTATCGAAAGTCTTCGGTTATCGAAATATTTTCGAGATTGCAACCCCAGATCGTCGGTGAAGTTCTCATTTGTTCGTCCACAGATGAATTCTTCATCTTGCGGTTTCTGCGCAGTTGTAAATTCGACGTCGAGAAAACCAAGTCCAAGATGCGGAACTATCATCAGCAGCGATCCGATCTGCCGGGGTGGTTCGCAAACAAGGATCCGCTCCTGCCGGAACTGCAGCAGTTGTTTGATTTGGGGTAATGACCGTTCCGCGATGTAATTATTCTGGGCGCATCCTCTCGCGATGCACCCGCTCAGCGTTAAATCTCTGTAATTAGGCGGTCCATCATCGTGCCTTTGCATTGTCAAATCGTGACCTGAATAATAATTCGGTCTTAAGTGCTCGTGTAATTGGCAAATTGTTAGACCGACATTTCTCATTGATCTCCTTATTGATCTCACGACTTCCTATTGATTTTACGTGCGATATATGACAATTTATTCCAAGGATTGCTCATTTGATTTCATCTGTTTATTTTAGGGTATTCCTGCCGCTGCGGGAACTGGACGATCAAGGGCGGATGGTTGTCATCGTAAGGCCAACTGTGCACGATCCGTACAAACAGCAACTATCGGATTTATTGAAGGTATCGATAACTCTCGGACTATGTAACGCAAATTTCGAAAAGACATCTTAGAGACGTTTTTACAAAAACACCTGCGAAGAATAAAACATTTCGTAAACGTGTTCAAAAATTCTAAAACGTGTAGGGCGTCCTCTAGATGTTTTCAAGACGTTTTCTAGAAGCTTGTGCTGTTTGCGAGCGCGAAATTTAAAGGACTTAGTGTATCAGCACATGAAAATGACGCAAAGCCAACTCTTCAGGCCTGCATGATGATCATGGACCTGCACTCGAGGGACCACATGCCGGGATCCTTGCGCGGTGTCTTCGCTATCATAGACATGAACGATGTTACTTTTGGTCATGCTCTTCAAATGCGACCCAATGTTATAAGGCACCTGGTGCACTCGTGGCAGGGATGCTATCCGATCAGGATCCAATCAATAAACTTTATCAATATGCCAGTCTATACGGATATTATCATAATGATTTTCAAGCAATTCATGAACGCGAAGTTGAAGCAGAGGTTCAGGGTCTACAGGCGCGGTGTGACGAACTGCTGCAAGGAGCTCCCGGCTGAGATCCTGCCGGCCGAGTATGGTGGCACCGGCTGTTCGCTACAAGAGTTGAAAGGTACGTCCAACAGGACAATATATAATTTCGACAAAAATTTATAATAATTGCGAATGAAGAGAGATTCTCCGAGAATAAATCGAACGGAATCACGACAATCCAGATGTGAAGCTAGCATAATCACGCGCAAATTCTTGCAGAATACTGGAAGAAAATGGCCGAGGAGAATCGCGACTGGTTCGCCGAAGATGAAAAATATAAAATGCTGTCGAGCGCGAAATAAATCGGTAAATTAATTACCAAATTAGTCCAATTAATTTGGTTTTATTGTTTTGTGTTTTATTGTTTTATTGTTTTTGGTTTATTTGGTTAATATAATTAACTGAACTGACTTGGGATGCAATTAACCGATTGAATTAATCTGGAATAATTTAATTAATTTAATTGCTATTTTCCTCGAGCGCGCGGAGCGACGAGCGAAGATAGAAGTTGTCGAAACAATAAGACAAAAGTGTTGTTACCGAACATCGCTTTAAGGACTTTAAGTCGAAGTAGGACGTGCAAAAGCTTTTTGCAGGGAAGAAAGATATGTACACGCACAAACGTTTTTGAGTCCCATTTTTATATAAGTGAAATAAAATATACATTTTTACACACATTGCCAAGTTTTTTGCTCCGATGCCTCTCGCTCGACGAATCTTTATCATTATTATCATTATTTCCTGAAAACGTTTTTTTTTTTTTTTTACTTATCGATGAACGTTCAATGACGTGCAATTTTACCATTGTCCTTGCGACGAGCGGGCCAAGATTCGCACGTGTGCGTTCTGCGGGCTCGTACCACGTAACGGATGAACATCTACACACTGTTCTGTAACGATACATCAGTTCTTTCGTGTCCATATCCTGCAAAAAGCCACGCAGCCCCCTTTCTTCCTTCACTTGGCACTTGCCAGCATCGAAACTCGCCCTATTTAATCTAATCGTCGCATATTTTCTCTCGCGCAAAGGAACCCGAAGTTCATCGAGCGAGACGCCACGCTGACGTATCGCTCGACCCTGCGCCATCAGTTGGAGAAATCGTCGTACTCTGTGTATAAAATATACGGTAGATAAAACGCATTCTTTTTTGCTTTATATATGCATAATATTTGACGGCGAGGAGCAGCCGTCCGATCGCCGCTCCTACCTTCCGATTGTTAACTACTTAAATAGAACGTACACGTAAGTCATGGGCAAGTAAAATTGCGCTACGGTATAACCAGCTCTATATCAGCTTGTAAACTTACTGGCTACGATCCCGCTACGATAAGACAGGGACGACTGTTCGTTTTTTTCTTTTTTCTACCAGGTCCCCCCACCACGCCGAATTTACACACCAACTGGCTTCGTCGTCATTGTCGCGGGCGATAACAATCGTCGGTGAGAAGATCGCGACGGTGACCACAATGGATTCGCTGCGAACACAGAAGGGCAAATGCACGTCGTGAGTATCTTCTCCCCACCGCGAGAAAGTTGTCCCTTTGATATCCTCCGCCCGCGAATTCAAGAGGATGCCGCGCGGTACGGCGATTACAGTATCATCCTAGTGTGTATCATCCATGATGCGCGATCCGCACAATCGCGAACGCGTAATTCTATTAACGTTATAATTCTATTCGCAGGTGGATGAGAAATTACGGCGAAGAAAGAGAGAGGAATGCAACACCGTCTTCCTGTAATGTAAAGTGCACAACATGCACAGTGGACGCTTCCATTTCAATGACGTGACAATGACAATGACGCAATCTCGGAAGACGGTGATTCCTCTCGAGAATGAACAAAAGAAGAGAACGATGAAGCATAAGTAAAATTTAACGCGTGGCCAAATTTTGCTCACGCTCTGACGCTGGATTTTGCAACGCAATTTTGCAACGGCCGAATCGCTGAGGAAAGAATCCGCGGCTCCTCATTCTCACTCTCTTCACGAGATGATCGTCTCACACTGCGGAGAATCCTGGCGGTATCGTCGATCTCGTTCGCGCCACTTCTGCGGAGATACCGAGTCAGAATAGGTTTTTATAAACGGACGCGCTCGCGCACGCGAGACAAACGCTGCGGTCTACGCGACCCGTGAACATTGTCATCGCACTCCCACTATCGAGTCCCACTCCGTACACACACGCGTATACACACATATACATACATACATACATACATACATACATATACACACGACACGTGTAAGCTTTACAAGCACATTAAGCGCACAGGAGCATCACATATCGGAAGTCCCTTCGTGGAGAATGCTGCGAGATCGTATCGGTGGTACATTCTGGCCGACATTCTGGTACCGAGGCAAACTTTCCGACGAGAATCCGGCAGTATCTCGGACGACCAGCCAGACGTCGATTCAATGAACACGACCCTCGGGAGAGGCTCTTCTTGCATCTGCACTGCAAGATCAGGATCAGAGTCGAGACTGTTCTTCCGAGTGAAGAGAGTCTCTCCCTCTGTTCTGTTAGACAGACAACTTTCTATCTTGAATGATAAGATCTCCTGGGTAGCGCAGCTTCTACAACACTGGAGGATGTAGAACCTTTACAAATCATCCTGGTCCCAGGGGAGAACATGAGATCCATTGCTAGGTGTCCCTGATCGGTGATCCTGCTCGGCGCTTTGCGACACGTCGTGCCCGACCCGATCCTGATTCAGCATTCTCCCGTCAGCACTCTCTACATTCGCGGTAACGTTCGCAAGGCACTGTACATCGAGATGAGTCCGGACTGCCGCGCGTGGAACGGTTGGGGCTTATCCGCGCTTGAATCTCAACACCAGCAGACTTATCGTGAGGAACACGACGATCCAGATGATGCTGGAGATGTAGCCGTTGTAGACGCTCGGCTCCGTGATGCTCCAGCCACGGGTCAGCATGGACCGCAGGGCACTGGTCGCCATCGTCAGCGGCAGACCTTGCGATATGTATCGCAGGAACATCGGCATACCCTCCACCGGCCAGATTACACCTGCAAGAAAACATTTGCGCGGTCTTTAATTACCCCATTACCGCGGTTAATTCGCCGTAGAAGAGTAGTTTATTGGGAGCCGGTGCGTTCTCCAGGTCGACGATTTGGCGGCTGATTAATTTCCATGTCTACCCGTTTGTTACCTTACTCTTCATAAACTGAATGTTAATGCCTGCTATTTACGACTGATCTCTATATTATTTTCATCGTCTCTAGGAAGAGTTCTTTGAAATTTGAGCGAGCGTTTGTGAAACTTGGAGAATATCGAATCCACACGATAAACAGTTAACCTCCCTATCTGATATCCTAAAAATCGCAATCAGTGTTTAATTAACGTTTAATGGTACTTGCAAATCCGCTATCGAGAAAGTGAGAAAAAAGGACTCTCACTTAAAAAATTACAGACCGTCCGTTTGCCGCTGAATTATATCGCTATCTTCTTCTTCTTCTTGCCTAAGAAAGTGGCGGCTTATAGCGGAGACCTAGGAACTACAATGTGAAAAAATAGAGACCGTATGACGTTACCTAATAACGTCGTGGAGAGACACCTAAAGATTCGAGTCTCGACTAAATGACCCGATATGAGGGCTGTTCCGAAATCGATTTTTTCCGAAACTTTGGTTCTAATATTATAAAGTTGGTGAGCTTTAAACTAAATTCTGTTCCGTGATTGATCAGCTAATCAAGATAATAAGTAATGAAAATTCTACCTATTTCTCTGTCCAATATTACAAAATTAATAGCTTAAATCAAATTAAACAGAAATAGCATAGCTGACCAATTATAGAAAGCATCCAAGTTAGTCCAAGGCTCACCAGCTTTATAATTAAAACCAAAGTTTCCGAAACTGACTTCGGAACAGGCTAACTGCATCCTGATTGGTCGACATTTTTACTATAAGGCGTCTCTAGTATCATCGATAACTCGAAGTATTATGACGAACGACAAATCGAAGTATCGTCCATTTTGCCAATTGCACGGACCAAGGGAGGATCGGCTGGCGGTTCTGTCTTCAAATTGTACGATTCAACGGCGGATTAGAAGGATTTTTGCTCGAATATTCATTCAGCGCCGTTATCAGGCGGTTTTCAATCGATAACACAAACGGCTCGAATAAACTTGCGAGGAGTGAAAGTCCTTCTGACCTGACGATGAATTAATCACTGCAAAATGAAAGCGCGAGCGGGACAGGCCGCGAAGAGTTACGAGATTAAGGCAAAGGTTAGTGATGAAATTTAACGACATCGTAGAGTAGAGAATCGTCGATTCGTTGGCCGTATGAACAAAGACCGGCGGAATATATCGTTACATCGTCGAAGAAACTACGATTTTCGACTGTACGCATGCATGCGCGTACAGTCAAAGATCGCAGCAACTTCAACGGCGCAAGCGCCGCGCTGGTGGTTTTGGCGGTTTCCGTACATACGTTGGAGGCCATCTTTGATTCGAAGCGTTCAAAGAGACTCGGCAAGCGCTTTATATGGCGAGTCAATTAGGTTACGGCACGTATGACTATGGCCAACTTTCACTTTTATCACGGTAAGAATTCCAATGTGTGACATTTGGATCGAAATGATCGGCGGCTAGTGTAACAGCGATGTAATGAGCCGAATCGAATCGCGTCGATATGTCCGACGACAACCGCGTCGCGATTTTTGCGCGCGATGTCGAAACGATTCTTAGTCATTCGTTATTCTCACTATCAGTCAATGTCTCGATACCGCGAGGGCGAGAGAAACCGTTTTTTAGATACAGGAGACTTGCTAATGTTCGTTTCTTTCTTTCGCTCCACCCCGCCTCTCTCTCTCTCTCTCTCTCTCTCTCTCAATATATGTATACACTTTCTCTCTCTTTCTCACACGCGCACACTCTGGTCCCCTCTTATGCGGCATTCTCTCTCGCTCATGTTCGGAGACACACGCGTTTTTGCAACATTTTTACGAGCTGTCGTAAATTTAATCACGACTGCAAATGAAAGCATTTTGAGCAATTCCGAGTACAATTATATCTCAAACGAACCGCTGCGTACGTACCGCTAAGCAGAAGAGTGGGGTAGAAACTGCCCAGGGCCAGTTGGATGGCATTCCTTTCGAGCTCGCAAATGGCAGAAATCACGAATCCTGCAAGAAAGATGAACATTCGAACAACGACGATTGCACCGATATGTTTCCCTCTTTGTCGAATGTCGTAAAGGTCATCCACATATCTCTTATCGTTCCTTTTTCGCTGGCAATCCGGGGGAGAACCGCGCGCTTCTTTCTTTGTTTTTCCGAATTACGTTGTTTTTGCAAAAAGGTCCCTTGATATTCCGAACAAACTGGTTAACTGGCTCGAACCGCGAACGGCGAGTTCAAGGTTAACACGAAATGCATGAGTCAGCGATGTAACAATATCGAGCAATACAAAAACATACGAAGAAACGTAGCGACAAAGAAAAATAACGCTTTCACTTTGCGACATTTGTTAACACACATTTTATGTTTCGATTGTGAAATCCGAGCGGAAGCGTTCTTATAACGCGACGCTACTTTTGCTAGCTGCTAAGCTGTGCGAAATTTCTAGTACGAGATCGCCTTACCGAAGCACATGCCGCAGAATCCCTGGAGTATTGTGAGTACGATGACCCATCCGATGTCACCTTTGCATTCGACTCCGAACACCAGGATCATGAAGATCAATACGAGGGCAGTCTGACCGCACATCACCACGAATTGCGTGGCCACATGGGAGAACAGAATCTCGCTGGGCGATACACCAGCCACCCAGCTTCGGTCCAACAGACCTTCCATTCTCTCGATGATTAAAGCGGATGACGTGAGCGCGACCGCCAGGAAAAAGACGATCCTGCGTGAGCACGACAAGCAATTTTAAAAAAACCTGTCTGCGGAATTTTTTTTCATACTTCTTTTACGCGAGAATATATGTTAATTTTTATTATTAGGCCAATTAGCGCTTGAATTAACGATTACGAATAATACTTACGTCAATATCACACCCGGTGCCACAAAGTCTGTAAAGCTAGGATCGTTGCTGCCATAAATAGGATCCTCGAATTGAATCGGCACGTCGGCCACTTTCGTATTCTGGTTGCAGGACGACAACAGGTCCTTGACGAAATCCCTGTACGAATACTGGAGGTTTCGCGACAGCATCAGGCCTATTTGTTGATCTGAAATCGCGAGAATCACATCTTAGTCACCATTAACGCGCGCGTAAAAGAATTATTATTAATTTTCTAGAAAGCTGAGCGCGAACACTCACTGGACATGTCCAGCCAGACTTTGATCTCGCTTTGATCGAGAGTCTCGTCGTCGGAATCTTTTCCTAAAGCCATTCTGGCTACGAGAGCGTCTGTGAAGTTTTCCGTGAAGTACAGAGCACCCCAAGCTTGCCCTGTGCGTACGGCTTCTATCGCTGAGTCTGGATTCGGATAATACGTCTATACGGAAAAAAGTAAGAAAAACAATGAAAAAAAGCTGTTCTGTTGCGACAAATTACAACTTTCAACTTCGGGAAAGAACATTGTTCCCCCTTTTACAATGTTATTTCAGATCAGATTACATTTATATGTATTAATATAAAGTATATTTTAAATTTTATGTTTTTATGTCGTCACACACATGCCTTTATCATTGTTTCATTATCCAGGAACTTGAGGTATCGACAACTGAGATATGTGAAGGTGCAATCTTCCGAGATAGGGCATGTCAGGTTTTCGTAGAACATCTCTTGGTTCACTATGGCCAACTTCAGCCCCGTGGGATCTCGTCCGATCGCCAGACAGAAGAGAATCACTTGCATCACCGGCAAGGCGAAGATGAACAGCATCACACTGCGTAAAGATAATTATCGCGTACGTTATACTAACGTATCTTAGTAGTAGTCAGGTGATTGTCACGTGATTTAGATATGCGCTAATGTTTGTACAATGTGTTATATTTTGGGAGAGAAAAAGAGAGAGAAAGGCGGGGAACGATAAGAGGTCAGAGAGTGCGAGAGACTGAATAAATCTCTTGATCAGTAACATACCCGACGTTCCTCCACATGCGTAGAAAATTTTTCTGTAGAAGCGCTCTGATCTTGCCCCAGCTGGTGATTTTATAACAGTCCGTGAAGTTACCGCAATCGTCGCACTCTAGCACCGATCCGGTCTTTGCAACCGTCAGTGGTTTGCCATTTATCTATAAATCGCAAACACATTGAACAAAGATTCATTTTACGGCACACATCGCGTTTCATTTATTCATGATCGTACATAAGAACTATTATCGTACACCTACAGTATTCAAGTATTCCAACTACCGGTATCGATCCCCGACGCTCACAAATTAGATGTTTTCCTTTTTGCCCGCGTATGTCTTTATAGTTTATCATCATTTGTTTTTTCATTTTTCAAGAAACATATCGATATAGCGTTGGTTACGCTAAACGTATGCAAAAATTATATTTTCGATATTTCTGTCTATTAACATTAAATTACTGAATGAGAACTCGGGCTTGGATTGAAAATATCAAACAATACACACATATATACATTGTGCTGTGAGAAGGTGAATGACAGAGTGTTTGTGTACGAAATTTTGGAAAACGGTCGCGAAAATTCTGTTATGTTTTCCTTATGTTGTCATTCCTTATCGCGTGTTGTCATTCTCAAGGTTACGCGACCTTCGGCGTATGGCGTCATGCGCCGTCTAAGCGTGCGTAGTGGGACCATAATAGTCTTGGATGCGGCTGAGAAAACATGTCGCATCATATCGATCCTCTTAGTTTTTAATCTCGGATCTCAAAAACTTGCTATAATTTTATTCTCAATCTTTTGTTGCCGAAAACCGAGATACGGCTGTAAATCGGTAAGAGATAACGGAGATAAGTCGGTATAACTCGAATCACACGACAGCAGTCCACCTCCCTAATTCTATACACGCGTATTTTTATGTTACTCTAAATTCTTGGCTATAACTTGGGTAATTTTTTATCTCTTTTTTGTTCCAGATTTAACATGGCGAAACGTAGCGGATTCAACATAGCTGGCTCCAGCTGCAAGTCGTTTCGATAAGTAATAAAAAATACAAAAATGAAATGAATTCAAATTGGTGGGTTTACTAGTAACGAGTTTTTATAGACTTTCGTTGGAATCAATGCGGTTTATTTTGCTAGTAGACTTTTGCATATATATATATATATATATATATATATATATATGTATGTAACATTAAGCGAACTGTTCGCAACAAATGGGGAATTTTGTTCAAGTTAGCGTATCATCAAATTAACATTTGAGGTACCGAATATTTGATCTAATTTCATTCTGAGATTATTTAAATATTTTTATACGAATACGAAAATTTTTCGCTATTTATTTTTACATTTGTGACTCAAGCTGCGTAATTATTCAACATAGAATTATTCATTTAATATTTTCCCTAATTGTTTTATGCGATATAAAGTTCCCAAAATTGCGCGTCAAAATCGCGCCGCTCGTGGAATTATCGCGAGATTATTTTATTCTCGCGTCGATTAATTTCGCGGTCGTCGCAATTTGTAACTTTTGATTTCTCACACTTGCGTCTGTATCTCGCGACAATATTATTCGAAGAGATCCCTTCGAGGAATTAAATTCGCGAAATTATTATGAGAGCACGTCTCACGGAGGTATCGCGAAGCAATCTTCGTAAAGTACGATGAAATAATTTTCATCAAGACATCACGACATCGCGGTTTGTTGCCAAAAACGTCACGTCGTTATCGCGATTACGGTTATTTAAGATCTTCGCGATTATCTTCTCGTGCGTTTAACATCTTGATCGAGTTTGTGATTCGAGCGATCGGTTCTCAACTTGTGATTTTTTGCACGCGACTCCAAGTATCGGGATTTATCATATCGTAGTTTGCGGTTCCTCGTACATCTCGATTTCGCCTTTCGTAAAAATCAAATTCGCGGAATCTGTTCCGAAACAAGAACATATTTTTCGACGGCGTTTGGGAAGCGTCGTTGGACGCCGTTAAACGGCGCAGAATTTCGGTCGAACGTTCACCCGCACTGCGAGTGAAATGCAGCCAACGTGGAACTGGACTTTCGGATGCGGTGGGACGCGGAAGTCCCACAAGACTTGGCCGGACGGGCCTCTCGACGATGGATCTCTCGACATGCATCATTGGTGAGACATTGCCAACGCTCACGCAGCGTTATCACGTAGTGCAAACGTAGGACATAAATCGCATTGATTTGCAACGGACAGCGCGCGGGCTGTTACACACTGCTAATGAAGGTCGTAAATATTCGCGAAATTTTCTATCCACAATGCGTGCGGGCATGTAATCCTTCTTACATCATAATGATTGGCTATTCCGTTGGTAGAGTCATGGATCAGGACCTCTTTGCTTTGATGGAAGTTGAGACCGACAACGCCGGACTCCTCCGTCACGTACACCGGCTCCTCTTTCTTGCCCCAGTTTAAAGAAGCCTGTGTGCAAAAACAAAAAAAGGGGGAAAAGAAGCGGTGGCCCGGTGGTGGAGAAGAGAGTGGTGTGGTGATATGTCGAAATTGACGCGAATCTCGTAGCGAAATTCATCGCGAGTACGGAAGAAAGTAAACATGGTCTTTTCTTCCTTCTCGTCCGTTTTATTCCGTACTTTGCGCGAATGCACATTGCTTCGCGTCGATTACGTGGTGACCAATCAGCTGGGCCGAAAAGTAAAAGCGATGTGACGCTTGACATCGATGTCATATGCAGTGTAGTAACCGTCCGACGCGAAACGAGACGGAAACGAAAGCTTGAAAATAGAAAGTACAATTTTTCAAATAGGAGGCAAAGGCAAAAATTGCGAAATACGATTCGCATCTAAAAACAAAACAGAAGAACCTCGGGGGATCGAGAAATAGAAAGTCGTGTACGAAAATGATAAGGCGATCGAGGCATTTTGTAAATTTACGATCTTCAGTCACGCGATTACTGATCTCTAGCATTTGAATTTCACAAGGCTAACATTTTATCACGATTGTAAATTCTAATTTGGAATTTACCAATTAATAATAATCTCGCGACTATTAGTTTCTTAGGCATTTGAATTTTACAAGAATCTTGATTTCTTATCATCATCATTTTATCGTGATTGTAAAGTAGAAGAGTTAAGAAATCCCAAAATACAAACTAGCAATTGCGTTGAGGAGCGTGATAACGAACGAAAGATATTCGGACGGAAGATAACACGACATTGTGTACACGACTGACGCAATATTCGAATCATACTTTCCCTCGAGGTAGTTCTCTCTATTCTATAGTTCTCTTACAATGTGCGACGTGCCGAACTCGTGGATGACGAATTTGCGGGGAATTCATTCGAGACAGAAAACATACAGAGCAGCAGTGTGCAAATAGGAAAAGTATCTGAGAGAATCATAGTTCCTCGAATATGTTGTTGCTCACCAAGCTGATATTATTTGAGATGTTCAGCTCCGTCGGTGGTTGAGCGTATTGTCCTTGCTTCCTGGACAGTTTGAGGAAGACCTCTTCGAGGGAGGCGCAGTTGTACATTGATAAGAGAGTCCTGGGTGCCTCCTCGGCCAACAATCGGCCGCTTCTCATTAAACCGATCTGTCGACGAAAATATATTTCATTGTGCTCACTCGTTATTTTTCATTGTCTTTATTGCATCTGATATTTTTTGAAGACTTGCGTAAGTCTGGAATTTTATCTTCTCTGATGTGTCTGAAGCATATGAATTAACACGTGACTAAGAGGCAGAGATCCACGTGTGAAGAAATACGTTGAGATCCTGCTCAAACTCAAACATTATCTCCATTTTGATTTTCTCGCGGAGGGAAAATTTTGCTTATTATTCTTACGCGGAGAAAAATGCTGTAATTTGTTTTAATCACTTAAATCACTACTCGAATCGTAAAATTGGTCAAGAACGCCGCTGAATTGAATTGAATCTCTTCTTGACTCGACAGCAATGTTATTGAAACCGATGCATCATACATCGAGTTTAATAACTCGAGTGTTATTATTCGATAGTGTCGCCACTGAGTCGAGCAGATTTACTTTTCAATTACGGCACCGCTGTCCAATTTTGTCGATACAACAGCCCATTTCTTCTTCCGTGGTAAACTTAGCTCTCTTTCTTCGGGAGGTTTAACCAGCGCGTGAATTTTCGGTCGGGCGGAAATAACGGATAAATCAGTCCATCGATCAATCAATCTTTTCTCCTCGAGTCGCTCGAGATGATTAAAAACTGCGAAATGTTCCGGCCACAACGGCGCGCTACGGTCACCGCGAGAAAAAACAAATTATTGACAAAAAATCAAGAGCGGCCTCCTTAAGAGCTGTTTACACTGTAATTTGCGCTCGCGATATACGTAATGAATGCGCGCGGAATGATCGGTCAAATGACGCGATAATAAGTGCGCGTGCAGTCTGCGTCGATTATCGGCTGGATTTGACATTAACGCCAAACATTGAAATCTTTCTCTCTTACTTGTCCTAGCAATCGATCAATTACCGATTAATTACTTAATTAGACGAGAAATTGCTCTTTATGTGCGATATTACCGTATGCGCCTGTCGGGCCTCTTCGATGTAATGCGTCGTTATGATGACTGTCTTGTTACCGTCTTTGGTGATTTGAACCAGATGATTCCATATGCTGCAAGATAAAAGCGAGGGGGATGCGCTTTAATCAATTGATCTCCCTTCGAAGTGATTTCTCTTATTCGATTCATTATCTTTTGAATATTATCCCCTAAGAATTATTTTCTCTCCAATAACTAGGTCGATCGATAACAATCTCTCAATAATTTTCTAAAAATTTTACATTATTTCCATGAAAGAGTATAATCTTTCATTGATTTTCCACATTAAGATTATTTCTTCATTATAATCGTAAATATAATGACGAAGGACTGCATTTATTTAAAATACAAGCGACTTGTTACAAGTCGGAAGATAATCGCGATAATAAGTTGGTTTATGCTTGGGTGTATATCTTACACATAACAAATTCTCATTAGACCCGCGATTGACTCGTTCCTTCATTGCATTTTCGAGTTATTTTCCCGATGAATTTTTTTCGCGATATTTTTTTTTATACGTTTAATATCCTTCGTGTCAAGGATACCACTCTGATCTTCAAGAAAAATAGGGAGGAGGGGGGGGGGTAGGAGAGGTGCAATGTATGATACATAGGGTTATAGAAGCATGCTGCATACAATGCAATTGTAATACGTCGACACGCACTGAAGCAAACGTAGAAACGCCATGCGTAAATATCTTTCCTCTGAGTCACACAATGACGAGACGAGATAGATTAGACTTGAAACGGGGATCTCCTCATTCGTGACGTGACTGGAATAAAACATAGACGTGCGCGATCGTGTGTTTGTTAAGCTCATGTATTATTTATTATACACGTGAAGAATCTCATGCTCGCGAATTCCACGCCGTCGCGAGCGCATCGGAGAATTTTGCAGCACTTTCTGGTGTTTCGTTCCCTCGTGAGACTGAGCGGAGAAAACTGAGCATCGTCATGCACTCATCAATGAGCACACTCATGAGCACACGTGTAAACGATTGCGTTAAGTTTTGCTTAACGGAGGAGCGTAAAGTCCGTTGTTAGAGGGAGACATAGATACGCGCAGGATTTAAAGATATTTAAAGATAAGATCGGGGTTATATAAAAATATGGCTTTTTGCCTCGAACGGCCGGCCAATTCGACGAACTAACCGTAGTGCATTACACACGTGCTGATGCTAAGATCGGTCGTCGATTTATGAAACTAGACCGCAACGAAGTAAAAGTCGAAAGTCGCGCCGTGCTCGGTGCAGACACGAGCATTGAATCTGCCATGCTTAGAACGAATATCATTATATATTCTTGAAGCCTGTATATTAGATAACTCGAACCTTTCGCGCGCACGCATTCGCGGGTGAAGCCTGTCAAGAGTCTGTTCCGAAAATCTGAATCGACGGTGCTAAAAGTACAACGTAAACCTCTCGGGTTCCTTTAATCGCTCTCGCGCATGATTTTATTCCGCGAAACTGTGAAATCTGTCCGCCGGTGTTATTTATCGCGTTAGCGTATCAGAAGCGTGAATTGCGCGATCATTTCGAACAGCGATCGCACAAATCTGGCTGGAATAGACCGACGCCGCGTCGCACAGTGGGCAAAAAGACTCATTTTTTGGACAAAAGTCTACCGACAATGCAATTTTCAACCGATTTCAAATTTCTTTTTTCAATTTACTCATGAAACATTGCTCTACAACGTAGTACCGCGGCATTGATGAAAAAAAATGCTGAAATTCAAAATGGCGGATGGAAAGTGAGTGACGAAGGTATTGAATTCCTGTCGAATGATACTTTTCTCTTATAATATTAAATATATTTACATTGAAATTGTTTCTTGAGTCGCTAAATATGAATTTGAGATCAAACTTAAAATTAAAAAGTCAAGATAACATTTGTTATAAAAGTAAAAAATGTCAGAACTTTATAATTAATAATATTATAAAAATATTAACCTAAAACATGTAAGTAGAAAAAAATTCAAACAAATATAACATAAACATTTAAATTAAACAAAAACATTTAAAAAATTGAAAAAAAAACAAAATAAAGAGACAAAAAAAAACAAAAAAACCAGTACCCATATAACGGCCGATACTTTGACGTGGTATAAGGGCTTAAATATTGTTTTATTATCTAAGCAGTTATACAGCAATATAACAAAATTCTGCTATTTTGTACAAATTTAATATTAAAATATGAAAAATTTTTAAATAATTATGTGCCAAGTGCATAATAATCTTTTTTTTGTAAATCCAATAAATCTTGTAAAGTTCTGACATTTTTTACTTTTATAACAAATGTTATCTTGACTTTTTAATTTTAAGTTTGATCTCAAATTCATATTTAGCGACTCAAGAAACAATTTCCATGTAAATATATTTAATATTATAAGGAAAAGTATCATTCGACAGGAATTCAATACCTTCGTCACTCATTTTCCATCCGCCATTTTGAATTTCAGCATTTTTTTTCATCAATGCCGCAGTACTACGCTGTAGAGCAATGTTTCATGAGTAAATTGAAAAAAGAAATTTTGAAGTCGGTTGAAAATTGCATTGTCGGTAGACTTTTGTCCAAAAAATGAGTCTTTTTGCCCACTGTGCGTCGGTCCGGCAATACGGGATGAACGACGACGAGCAAGTCACGACGTAATGGGAAACATTACGACGGAATTGGGTTAGGTCGGAAGAGCGAAGATCGCGAACTTTCCTGGCGGTGTTCTCGGTGGAAAGTGATCGGGCCCATAAATATTTCACGAGACAATTACGCGCGCGATCGAAAACGCGAAGAAATGGTGAGAGAAGCGCACGCGCGCTAGTCGACGTGCAAGCGGTCGTAACAAAGCTGTAAACTTTCTCAGACAATCAGACAAAGCGTCCGAAGCTTCTCGCTTCGACTGTTCTAGCGGCTCCGCCGCGTTATTATTTCCGTTTTCTTCCTGCGCCGTTATTATTTCGCCTTTGTTTCACCTCGTCCCTGCCAGGGAAACTTACGCACCTCGATATAAAATCTACGAATGGAAACATGATTTGCGCTTGGGGATCTCTCTCTGGAAAAGCCGACACTTATACAAATAACCGACTCGGAAGCGAATTGCCTCTTAACGCGTATTTACGTGACTTTTCATTTTCTCGCTCTATTTCCACGTCACGCATAAAACGCGCTCGAGAATGCGCCCGAGGAATATGAACGCAGCGATCTAGCGAATTAATAAGCCGCGCAGCGAAGCACGGCAGATGACCGCAACGTAGTGATTAACACGAACGATTTCCTGTCACGAGAGCCGAGTATTATTATGAGAAGTGTTCGGCTGAGTTATTCGCCTTATTTGCTCCCGAACGAAAGCGACACTTTTCCCGCTCTGTCAGCAAATTTTGCGTCCTCTCTCGCAAAGCAAGACGGAAAAAAACCCACGATTTTGCAGTCGTCAATCTGTCTAATTTACAGGATCTGCTTATTAAAGGCTCTTTCAAAGAATACTTTACGATATCTAGACACTCTCTCGGAATTTAGATGGCAAAGTTTGATGGCATTTCTTTCTCTATTTGTATACAAACAATTATCTCGTAGTTCCTTTTCGCTTTCCCCCCGTTTCCTGCTTTTGTCCCTTTCAAATCCAATACAGACACACTTTCAAGTCCAATACAGACACACGTCCGCATCGTTGCCAAATCTTTCCCTCAAAATTTCACGTGGTGTCGCTCTTGCAATCTGCGCTACCAGTAAACGCAAATAAACGCGCGTCTCTAAGTATATCGTTCGTCATATTTTGTCTCCATCGAGCGTCAAGCATTATACGACGGATACGAGTCATAATCGTCGCCAGATGTCACGACTTAGGGAATTTTTACGTCAGCTTACGAGCTACCATTCCGCACAAATCACGGTCCAATGTCCAAAGACCAAAAGCTCGAACGTGTTTTTCGCGCGTAACAAGGCGTCGTCAAGGACTTCGGGAGAGCCTAATGAGGCTTCTAACGAGAATACATAATTCGAATTCACGGTACTCTCGAGTCGTCCCTGCCGGGTATTTCACGCGCGGACGTAGAAACTCGCGTTATTCAATCGCACACTCGTGTGCGATGATTTAACGTCAGATGGAAGGAGCCGGGGTGCGCGAGACGCGGCACGCGGTCGTGTTCATTTACAGTCCTCCTCTTGCCCCCGTTGGGCCGTACGGGCGATACTTTCACTTAAAGTCAAGCTTAAAGCGTGACTTACGATTCGGTGCATTGGCCAGCGGAGAGTTGCCGGCACGCGCGATTTAATCTCTCGATGCTTAGATTTTCAGCGAAAGTGCGCGCGCACGGCGGTCCCTCGGACTCGCTTTTTCCTTCCTCGTTTCGTCGTTCACGTCGCAGCCGGCAGCGAGCACGCTGGTGAATTTCGCGGTTCGTCAGGCAAAATTGAGACATCGGGGAGATCTCCGCGACAAGAAACAGCCGACATGAAGTGTCCGCGGCGATGTCTGGACGAGCCGGCTCTGCGCGAGCCGATCTCGTCGCGCGCGCTTTCCCACGTGGGAAATCGGCCGGAAACTCGGCTAGACGAAATACTCTCGTCTCGTACGGGATAGGACACGGTCTGTCACGTTATTTAATTACACTGGCGAGGAACATGCGAGCGCGCGCGCGCGATGGATCATCGAGGTTCGCGTATGAAAGTCAGCTGTTCTAATTATATTAATCTTGTCGCGAGTGATGAACTCGAAACGTAATGAAAATAGCTGGAACGTACCTTTGTCTTAATAACGGATCCACGCCTACGGTTGGCTCGTCAAGGATCAGGAGTTCCGGGTCGTGCATAAGGGCCACTGCGAAAGACACTCGTCTCTGTTGACCGCCACTGCGCCAAAGAAGTGAAAATGATCGATATCTGGCTCACAATTGTATTATTTAAGTCGCGAGGAAACTAAATTTTGCCGATGGCATTTAGGACATGAAATCTCGGACGATTTGAATAGAATTCTATATTCTTGCTATTCGAATGCCAATCTTGATCTATTCATTTGTGTTATATGGGAAAAAAAAAACGGTTCTTGCAACGTAACTGAGCTTCGGATGTGAAATAAAAGTGCAGTTTCTCGCTCTGAGAGTCACACAGTTGAATCGCACGATTCGCAAAATCCGGCAGAGTTTCCGCGCGCGCGCGCACGCGCGGATACAACGGAAATCCCGGTTCGCTCTCGCAGGATCTCTCGCGAGGCTGCAGCGAACGCATACCTGAGATTCTTCACCAAGCGATTCTGCGAAGGCAGGTCGAGAAATTGTAGCAAGAAGCGCAGCCTCTCGACGATCTCGGCCGTGCACATTCCGAATATCCAGCCGAAGTACATCATGGTCTCGCGGATAGTGAACTCGCCGTAAAGGGCTGTCTCCTGCGGCATGTAGCCGACCCTTTTGCCCGGCACACCGGAGCCCTTTGTCCCGGGTTTACCACCCAGCACCCAGATCTCGCCAGAGTTCAATCTCCTGCGGCCGACGATGCAGGACAACAGCGTGGTTTTGCCGCACCCGCTGGCGCCCAGCAGTCCGTATCTAACATGAACAATTGGAACGACGATCATTACGACTTTTATTATCGTGAGTGTCGATCGTTGATTGAGTCGCGAGACAAGAAACGTGGCCACGTCGGTGAGACGACGGGAATAATTTCGAAATCACGTTGAGGATACTCGAGGCGGGCAGGAAAGGTAGAAAAGGATCTCGCCGGACGGCGAGGTTATTTTTTTTATTTTATTTTTGCTCATTTCGCGGGGTACACCTTGACGAAAGATACTCCCTCGGTCTCTCCGAGTGATGCATTCACAGCGAGAGACAAACTGTGTTTGCGTGGGCGTGCGGTAAACACATTTAGCGCGCGTGTCGCGTAGCTTTAAAAACGAACCGGCCGAATCATCGTCAATGTTGATCATTAGCATTAAACCAAGCAGGTAACAAAGACAGGCGGCGAGACGTGGCAACATTTCGCAAGTACTTGGAAAACAATCGGAATGAGTAATGGGGAAAAAGGATACCTCACCGAGCGGCGAGTTCGCGCTAATTTTTTTCACGTCTCGCCGAAAATACTCCCTTCAACTGATCATTTGAAAGATTCACTCGTAGCCGCGAAATATGTACACACACGCGCCGTGCACTTTTAGCACGCGCGTGTCATATTTTTGAATATGAATGGGCGGATCAACAGAGTCATTTGCACGCGCAGTTTTCGCAGGGGCACGAACAAAAGCACAGACAACTCGGGAGGTCCGTTCTCCTTGAAGCCCGGACAAATACATGAATTCGCGGGAACCGTTGACCCTCCATTACCCTCGTATGAGTCAAACGCTCAGTTTACATTTCTTTTTTTTTTTAATTACTTTGATGTGGCATAAAAGTTGACTCTGAAACTTTCTGACTTTTTACTTATAACCATTTAGATTATATATGTATAGTTATTTTCTGAATTATGTTAATACAATTTTCTTAATACGAGAAAACTAAAATTCGGTTTTTTAAACGAGGGCAATGAGGAGGGTTAATAGGCGCGATTTCTGCAGCGATTTAGGAATGCCGCGGCGCTGTGATAAGAGTTGGCGGAAAAATCGCGCGCGCGGCATGTGTCGCGAGTACGTCGAGAGGTTGTTACGCACAGTGAAAGAATAATCAATTTTAAATTGCGCCGACCGACTAGCCGCGCTGCGAAGGCAAACGCGAAGTTGCGCGTGACGCAACCGTTCGCTACGACGAAATAAGTGGAAATCGAGAACGCGACCTGGGACCGTTGCCTTCGCACTCACGGTGAATCACACTAATTTGTCATCGATTTATGCCCTTTCGTGTGCGGAATACGCTTACGCGCCAACGCTGTCTCCCCTCGCACCCCTCCTCCGTGTTTTTTTTTGCTCTCCTGCCTTTTGCCGTCATGCCGACGGAGTCGTTCTCCGAACGCACGACTTATGTTTCTCTGCTAACAAAAAGCTGTCTTTATACTTTGTATATAACATCGTTACATACAAGCGATTCGATTTTAGAAGCGAATAATAAATATGAATTTTTTACTCTCGCGATAAAAAAGAATCGAGGGATCTCGTGAAGATTAATCGATAGTCGTCGATAGAATGCCGTGACGTTCTCCATTAATTCCGGAAACGTACAATTGACAGGTTGCGTAACGGCGAACGGCGATTAGTCGTAGCAGCACAAATACACGGAGTTATTGGATCAGTCAAAAAATATGATTTAATGTTCTGCCTTCTTCGATGCCTTCTACGATAAAAAAGAAGCTGTCAGAACAGCTTGGCGAGCGAGTGCAGATTGCGATTATTCAGCTGATTATCACATGCATAATTCATTCGATACTACGCGATAAGGTCCAATCTAAATGCCAAATCTCATTGAGCTTGTTGACCGACCGCGGGAGCAATCGGCATTTCGAAGATTCGGCTCGATGATCGTGACGACAGTAAGTTCTTTCAGCGTTATCGCACTCGATGAATGCAGAAACTCGCACTCGACGGCACTGACGCAGAGCACAATTGGACGGAATTGAGTGTTAATTGTCAATTACGATACGATAGCCTCGATTATACGGTCTCGTATAAACGTTCATTGTATTCAAAACACGACGCTATTTTTGCAGACGATAATTCTCCGCGATGTCGTCCTCTATATCAGGAATACGGAGAAAATAATTATGATTGTTAAAAAAATAATCTTGCAACTTTGTTGAGACGGACGAGTATTATGAAGACAAACCACTTTTTCTTTCACGACACCTTACGCTAACTTTTCTTCCTCGTGTTGTTAATGAAGATTATCATTTGCGAGTCATGTCCAAATCGACATTAGCTGTCGCACAAGAGACAGACTTTAAATATTTTATGCGAGACGGTTTCAGTCGCACAGTCTGTCGACGTCTCTTTTGCCTCTCCTCCTGTTTGATTCGAAGTAAAAGCTATTTCATAGAAATCGCGCTTGAATATGCTGAAGTGTGCTCAAATCGAGAAGTACGTCGCGCGTGACGGAGCCTCGTCAATCACCGACGAAAACGGAGCACACAGAGTGCGAGAAGTCTGTTCGGGATGTTTTCGTCCGCGTACGAAAGGCGCTAACAAGTTAATTGCTTCTAATCAGTGCAGTCGCCATGGATTGGTTGCATGACCCACCGCGTTCCGCGTTTCGCTTTGTATCAATTTTGCACACACTCGGCACGTTATTTGTGTCGACATGCATTATGTGTGCACATCGGGCGTGCGACTTCCGTCTTATTGACAAATTGTGACGAGACAGAGAGAGAGAGAGAGAGACAAAGGAGCAATCGCGCACACTTTGACGCGCGTCTCGCGTAATTCGAAACGTGCGATTACTTTTGACTTCGGGTTAACGCGTATAACGCCACAATGTAATCACACGTCTCGATCGCACGGCGATTACGAAACTCGAACTATAACGATTATAACTGGAATTACAGGCCGGTCGAATGTGTTTTAATTTCCTGGTGGTTGCGGGACTCGCATTGTTATACCGCGTTATGAAATAACTACTATAACGCGGTTATTCCGTTCCCCCCTGCGGAAACCTCCGGGTTTATCGCAAAACGCGATCTCGCGGCACTACCGGCACGAATCGCCGTCGTATTAATTAATACATACGACTGCTACTCGTCAGGAGTTAATCATCGTTCCGCTAAACTGACTCGTTAAGGCGGATAATGAGATTCTCATGTATCGCTTTCTCGAGACATTATCCGCATAGCGAAACGGCATAAGTACACCATTTTCTTTATTTCGAGTCGGATTACGAGAGAAGAGGCACCGCCACCAGGAAGTTAGGCAATCCTAATGGCAAAGCGATACACGTAAATTCGTAGCGTGCGGTATAATAAGATGTACACGTAATAATATAGAGAAAGAGAGAGAGAGAGAGAGAGAGAGAGAGAGAGAGAGAGAGAGAGAAAAGAAAGAAAAGGAACATCATTATACCAACTCGTTACGAAGAAGAATATCTTATCGATATTTTATTTTTTAATTCTTGAAGACAGTAATAGAAGTTTCCCCATTATCGTAATATACAAAGAGACCTGTGTGACTTGTGTTATCGCGAATTGTAGTCATTTTTCGTTTATATCTTTATTACATACATATATCTATTATTTTATTATTAGATCGTACACATCTCCATGTCAGTTCATTTCAATACGCTCGAGAAACTTTCGCTTTTTTAATGGACAAATCTCGAGAATTCGAACGAAGTGCGAAGCGACTGGGGGTTTCATTGGCACAAGCAAAATCGCGTGCCTCAGACGCGAAATCGACGAAAACAACAGCCTCTTTGGGGGGCGGAAATGAACGCGAAAGTGCCTGAACATGAGACAGAACGTTTTAGGCGGGTTGAAATTGGTCCGCAATAGCATGCTTTCATTTATGGAACCGATTGATATGTTACTACTGATAAGTATATTATACACGATCGCCACGGAAATTGTACGCAGACAGATCGCTACAGGTAAATATCATTAATCAAATGAGTAAACGTGAAGGAGCAGGTAAGAGCGCTGTTATCGGGTCGAAATTTCATAAACGTAGAAGACAAATGTTGCTTTTATATCCAATTCGAACGTTTCGATCCTATTGTTCGGCTGCGTTTAAATCGAATGTAGAAGCAAACTTCTTTTCCCTCTGACAGCAGCGCTGACTCCTGCTTCCGCACTTATTTGTTTGATCGTATTACCTTGAGAGCTTATCGTTTTATATAAATAAAATTATAACACACTCACATCGAGCCTTTGGCGACCGTCATGCTGAGATTCTGTATAACGTGGTTCGGATTCTTGCTACTACCGTAGATCTTGAAGGCGTGCCTGACGCTGACCGCCTGCTGGCGATTCCAGGAGGGGTTGTTGAATCCTGGCGTCACCGAGACGGTGCTCGACGTCACCATCGTCAGGTCCATGTCGCTGTCCGCGTTGCTCTGCATGTTTGCGTTCGTGAGACCTTCGGCACCCGCAGCTCCGTCGCTGCAATAGAAACGAACATGACGATAACGATAAATCACACGCGAAGGATGTCACAAATCGCACGTAATATATCTTGTGCAATCGCGTGTAGCACTCGGCCGACATTTCCTTACGGAAGTTGCTTGCAGGAGACACTTGTAATGTGACGTGTAAAATTACAGCAAGGCGGGGGTATGTTGGGCGAGCGTGCCACGTGCGTAATTGCAGGGGTGGCAATCGTAGGAGTGGGATTACGCGTCGTCGAGTTTTGATTAATTTTTCGAGGCTTTGAAAAATGAGACTTAATTTTTGAATGAAAACTCCTGCTGTACTTGTCTTTTTGAAAAACACAGAGATTTGTCTTTCATTCTCTCAGAAATAAGAAGCCCCACGAATCTGAAGTTGTAAACTCCCAAGTTTTTTGAAAACAATAGGGTAAACTTTCAAAAATCACTCACGTCCAATTACTGTAAATTTAATGCCAATAGCGTTTAAATAATATCATATGTCGCAATTAATATTACACTACTCAATTTAACGTACATATTGAGCGAGCTCGGACAGACTTACTAATGCACAAACTGCTCGCGAAGCTAGATGATAACTAAATAGCGATAATAAACACTATCATGGAGGTCATTCATAATAAGGTTGTATTCGCAATAATTAAACATTATCAACAGTGCAACTTGCAAGGTACTGATAGCATGAGCGTTTATGAGCTTACAAAACGCCATGAACTGCTGATGAATTTGCTGACCAAGCAGCGATAACAAACATTGCTAACGTTTCGCCGCGATGTAACTCTCTTTGGTGAGTCTTGCAACTGCTTCGTCGCTTCTTCCAAATTCGAGATACCACCTTCGTTGCGAACGAAACGAGACGCTACGAGGCGTCGGACCGACTCGGCCGAGTTCTAGAAAATTGCCCGCACCCTCCGCGGCATAATTGCATGCACACACGCATACACGTGCTCGTTGCGCAGAACGATTCTGTAAATCTCGGTCCGGATTGCGCGGTATGGAAAGAGTCGAAGCGACGCGGTGCGTTACGCAACAGGCGCGCCGGCCGCGGCTTTCTTTTCGCTGACGCGCGCGCGCCAATTCATTGGGCAACGCGTCGACGCGCGCTCTCTCACGTGTGTCACTTGTGTGTGTGTGTGTGTGTGTGTGTGTGTAAAGCGCGTGCAGGAGTACGTTAATACATACTCGCTCACTTACATATCTGTTCGGACACTGCGTGACACTGTGTGCGCGCGTGGATGCACATAAGCATACGTTCATACACACATGGACGCGGAATATATAATGCGTGCACGCATCGGCTGCAACGTGGCGGCGGTATGCGCGTGTAAAAGCAGAGCGAGTGTGCATTCTTGCGCTAGTTTGCACGATTTCGGCGGTTCATTTCGCGATTTCCCTTTCTCAAGGCGAACTTTCGAGCCGCGCGCGCGCGCGCGCGCGCTCGCGCACCAGTTTGCGGATATTACGTCCTCCGCTCTACTCTTACTCTTAATCGAAACGCCGAAGGGGTGTTACACGGAGAACGAAGCGCTACCTGCCTTCCTCTGAAATTTTTAATTCCCTTTTAATGCTTTCGTTAGCACAGAGAAATTAATTCCTTCGTATCTCGAGACACCGATATAGGCCTCTCCTCTCTCTCTTTCTCTCTCTCTCTCTCTCTCTCTCTCTCTCTCTCTCTCTCTCTCTCTCTTTCTATCCCTTCTCGCAGGCGACATGTTTACCCCGCAGGAATCGAAACTATCACCGTGTATCGTTATCGCCGGTTACGTAAAAGTAAATGCTGGAGCTACTTCGGACAATTGATTAATGAATAGCGATCCAAATAGATCGCTATCCTGAAGTTAATCGAGAAAAGTATCAAACACGTGCCGCTTGTGATGGGCGAGAGAAAGAGAAGAAGGGAGAGGGGGGGGTACACTAGAGCAGTTGCGACGACGGAAATGTATTGATATTACGCAAGTGAACGGTATGTGTATCGGGTGAGTTTAGTGTCACAATAATCGAGTAAGGTGTTGTTATGGTTTTTCGCGGGCTATTACTTCAGCAATTGGAAAAGTGACGGGCCGACCGATGCATATTACGCGACGACGATGATGACGACTTACGACAGCGAAGAGGACGGTATTTGCAAATACTCTCAGCGTTGCGAAAATCCGCAAGTTTCCCCCGAAGAATTTTCTATCCATTAATGGGGTATGGAGTGCGCGGAATTACGCGTGTGAAGGGGAACACGATATAAATATATATTGCAGTTCGGAGTAATTACCCGGAGGCGACGCATAATTCGCTACTGCGAAACTACATGAAAAAACCGCATTGCAATTAATGAATCGTGGAGAATCGCTTGAGACGGTGCGCAAAAAGCGTGCGCATTAGGTTCGACGCTGGGTGGGAATGCGCTACGACAAAGTCGATTGAAAATTTCTTTGGCTGAATATACGAGGAAAGAGACGACGTCAAATTACAAAAAAGAAATATGGAATCAATAATCGCTGGTAATTTATCGGGTGAGAAACAGAGGAGGGAACTCGAGTTGATCTTAATTATCACCGAGTTAATCTTTTGTTTACTCGACATGTTGAATTAAGGAGTCAACGTATATACAGTCGTTGGCTATTCCTCCATAATATTTTATAATCGCTGCTTAATGAAACCAATTCACCGTAAAATAACCGTACACTGAAGGCAATCTCGACATAATTGGTAATCCATCATCCTTCGCGACGAAGGACAATTGCGCAATAAGTGGCGATTAGTTTTCAAATACGTCTGGCGGAAACGGCTCATTATTTTGAACCCCGTCGTCTCGGGGGCAAGTAAAGTAAAGTATCTGTCCTCGTTCGCCTGCGGCACGTTGAAAAATAGCCGCTGAACACACCCGAGAGAATCGAGACGCTCGATCGAGCTGTCTGTAACGATCATTATTCAATCATTAATGCGATGTGTAATAATTCTTGACTGTATCATCGATCTCGACGTACGTCGTTTATCTCTCTCGCCTCTCGTGCCTCTTATAATCAATTGCTCATTATCGGCTACCGCGATACCGCTCATCAAAAAGCAGTATTTTGATAATACTTGCATCTCACTCGCGAGACACCCTGTCGGCCATTTGCAAAACGCAATTCCCTGCGAGGTGCCCACACGTTCCGTATTCCGCGCGCACGTTCTTCTTCTGCGAATCAGCGGTTCATGTTTGCATGATAATCGTATCACTCGACCACGTTGAAGTGTGGTGTACGAAGAAAACGCGAGACTCCGTGAAACCGCTCAATATTCAATTCATCACGTCGCTGATGAAAACCTCGCGTTGAGATTCCGGAGGGATACGACTCTCCGGGAAACTCGGGAAACTGACGAAGAAACATCGGTCGATTTTTCCGCTTACAAAAACTACGAGCTCGCGCGCGACGTTTCTCGACGCAGCTTCTCCTTCGTGAAAATATATCCTCGAGGGAATCTTCGTTTCCCCTCTACGACTGCGGGTGATATTACGCGCGTCCGAGCGAGTTTCGCCTGTCGACGTTTCTCCGTCGACGCGCTTCCCCTGTTACGCGTTAAGAGTCGCCTGCGATAAATTCCAGCCGATTGCGGCGAATGTATTACGAATGGCCGACGTGCGATGGAAGTGTGCGTCCGACGAAACGGAAGGTTGAGGGAAAACCGAAAGCGCCGTCGCCAAGCGAGACGACCACATTGCACAATATCCGCGAATTGATGAACGACGTTCAATTCGCTCGCCGGAGGCGAGCCGGGACGAGAGGCGCTTTCGAGCGCGCGAATGTGACGATCGTCGAGCGTCAATCGCGATCCTTGGAACGGCGCTCAAGATATTATCGCAGGGCAAGCACACTCGATTCGCACTCGCGCTCGCGAGAAAAGCGCGACGCCGCGGCGCGCCGGGCGGTAAAACGCGCCGTCGTCGCAACGCGACATGACAGAGCGCGGTGCCTTTCGAAAAAATGTACGCACCGGCCCCCGTTCTTCTGCGCGGCCGCTCGCACCTGTCGTAACAATCGTAACGAGAGGAGAAGAGAAATATCTGAGAAGACGCGTTCTCCGACTGCTTTTGCGAGTGCTTTTGCGCAAGCGACACATCGATGTAACACAGAAGCGGCAATTAGCGCGCTCGTCATATTTACAATCTCTTTCCTTCTCTCATCGAGAGAGGAGGTGCAACAGGTGTGTAACGTGTGCGATTACACTCGACGGACAACACAGAGATCCACACGGTAGAAAGAAGCGCGCGAAAGACAGAGGCGCACCTGTGCTGTCGGTCGGCCTGATGCTGCTGCGACGATGCGATTTCGGCGCGCGGTATGTCGTTCGACGGCACATCCCTGACTCGAGCGCGTCGCCTGGCGGTTCTTGATCCGCGCATGAAACGGCAAAACGTCATAACTGTGTGTGTGTGTGTGTCACCGCGATCATCAGCGACGGGTTGCGTTGATTTCGCCGCGTGACTGATCCCGACGGTGGAATCTCTCGCGACGAGAGATAAGACTCTGGCGCGTCGGAATTAACGAGCGTCGAATTCCGGTCACCCGTCAACGTCCCATTGCGACACACACGCCGCTAATTTAATTAATTTACGAGCAAAGCAGAGATTCGTACCAAACAAATTATAGATAATGGGGAAAGTTATGATGCAACTGGCTGAGAAATATTAAGTAATGCGTGCATTCGTTGCTATCTGGATTATTCGAGCTTTGGCGGAGGGACCACTCGTGAAGATCAGCCTGGCAGGCAGCGTACTGGGAGATTAATCATCGCTGCTTTTAGCAGCCGAACCCGTCGCTTGAATATATCGCTGAATGAGCTTGATTCTTTTACCGAGTGGACTGCGCTCGCTGCGTGAGCTCGATGGCGGGCGCTCGCGACGCCGTCGTCGCGGACAGTCGGTCGCGTCGTTTGAATCGCATAATTTTGTCGAATCTGCGAAAGAGAAAACACACCGGTCAGACAGAACCGGTCGTTGCGAGAACAGTCGTCGCGCAGTCGTGCAACGAACCTTCGTGTTCTCGTTCGTTACTGCTTGAACTCGCGATCAGCTTCGCGATCGTCTCGACGGTCGATCTGATCTTGCGTCACAGGAGATCCTGTGGAAAAGCGAGGAACCTTTCGAAAAGAAATCGCCGTTCTTGCCGCGAGATTTCACTTTCGTGAGTCTCGGGCGACGCTGGAAAACACGAAGGTTCGTCTCATACACGGTGAGATGCACAATGTAGCACGCATGGCATCGGCAGAGCCATCGTTTACCGGTTATCGTGCTTCCGCGGCGCGGACCTGCGTCCGTCGAGTTGACTCGTGGGCGGGCACGACTTGATGTCCCGCTTGCGTCCCATGACTGCGTCCCGCCTGCGAGAGAAGCGCGTTTCCGCGTTGGATGGAAAAGTTGCAAAAAATTGGAGCAACAAACAGCGGTTCTTGATCGAGCGAGGATCGAAGAGTGCGTCCGTTCAGGATTGACTTCGTATTCGATCGCGCGTTTACAGCGGCTCGGCTTCTTTTAACCGCGTTCTCGTCGTCGCGATAAAGAAAAGTCACGCCGGCTTCTTTTAACCGCGTTCTCGCAGTCGCGATAAAGATAAGATCAAGAAAAGCCACACGACGCTACGTATTTTCCGAGAGCAGATGTAAACCGCTCGGTAAATCGATTCACCACACAAGGCTGTGTTTGCTTCTTTCCTCAGCGGAGCCGAGGTTGCGCGCTAACGATTCGAAGCACGTTGCCGCGCGGCATCATCGAAGTTGATCATCCGCAAATTGCAGCCGCCGCTGCCGGGAAGCCGGGGCCGCGCCTCGACGGCGATTCACCATGAGAATCGGAACGTCTCGTGTTCGTTATTAACGCGCATTAGTACGCGCTGAATTCCCATATTTTCATCACGCGCGCGTCGAGCGTGAGCGAGAGAGAGAGAGAGAAAGAGAGAGAGAGAGAGAGATAGATAACCGGCCACATCCGACGGATAAGGTTAAGCGAGATTGCAACACGCGCGCGAGAAACATTGATTAATACCTCGGCGGCGCGCTTGGAAATAGAAAAGAAGCAAACACGCGTCCGGGGAAAACGCGGTCTTGAGAATTCCGCGCGACCGTTGCGAGCGCGGATCGCGCGCGTTCGAACTTTGTCCTAATCCCGATCTGAATAAACTCGAACGCGCTCGTGTGAAATCGTCATATCGTCGTGACGGCTAAAGTCGACTAAGGCGAGACACGTGTCCGCTGCGTATTCCTGCGTGGTAGCACCACCGGTGCGCCGATGTCGGAGTTGACCCGCCCCCGCCGCCGTCGCCGTCACCGTCGCCGTCACCGATATCATTTAATATTGTATGAGCCCGAGATATGGTCAGGGTCGCGTAAAGACCACTTATTCATCCGTCAGTCGTTCAGCGTGCGATGACGATGACTCGCGGGCGCGCGCGCGCGTGCGTGAATCTCGCTCCTCGATCTCGCAATTCTCCCGCCCGACTCTCGCCGGTCCGATTAATTAGAAAACGCGGCGACGTGCGACTTGGCGAGCGCTTAAAATCTGTTCTTTTTTAAACCTCTGAACTAGTGCGGCAAGTTGGAGTGAAATGGATATATCTTCTCTCGCGCTACTTCAAAAGTTCTCCGAAGCAGAACAGACCCTTAATTCTCCTCACGGGAATTCGCACAGAACGTGTCTCGGTTTACGCGCGGAACCGCTTGAGTTCTCGGTTCCTCGTCGAGATCAGCCTCGTCTCCGCGGCATTTTGGTCGCGTGAACGGGCGCGTTCTTTGATAATATCTCGGGACGCGGCATATTATTCAGACATTGTTCACAAGACTCGACGTTGGAGCTTTTACTAACTAGCTTTATGTAATATCCTCTTCGACTTCCTCGCGAGGTGGACCAAGTGTTTGTATCTTGCAGACACAGGGTAGTTGAAAGCATGCACACGAGTCGATCGGCGCGTTTCAAACCGCGTAACGCGACGCGCGGCTACCCGATGAGCTCCGCATCCTTCGCGCGAACACACGCTGCTTCGAAGCAGCTAATTGCATATTTCACAAAATGATCGTACAAAAAGTCGCGGTTGCGCACTTGGAACGCACTTTTAGGGAGCTTCATCCCGTGTGCGTGGCGTCGATGCGATGTCGCCGTCGCCGTAATGCAACGCGCGGTTACCTGAAGAGCCCCTCATCCTTCGTGGACGCACTTGCTGCGTCGAAGCGGCTAATTGCACATTTTATAGAATGATCGTGCAAATCGCTTGCTCCGACCGTGCGCGTGGAGCTTTCGAGAGAGCTATGTGCGTTGCGTGTCGGTGTGGTGTCTCGAGTCGCGAATTCAAACCATGCCGAAGACGAACGCGCGCGCACTCATCGAAGAACTTATCGTCGCGTCTGCATAATTATTGTCGCGCCTCAGAATTGGGGCCGCCACGTCGTCGCGGTGACTATCGCTCGGGGATTCCACTGAGAGAGACAGAGAGAGAGAGAGAGAGAGAGAGAGAGAGAGAGAGAGAGGAAGAGAGGAGAGGGTGAGACTTCGAGAATTATAATTGCAAGTCAGCAGAAGCACCCTTCGCTCGGCCGCGACGACAAGTAACGTTGCCCTTCTAATTCTAATTGTCGCTGTGATTTATCGTCGTGAATTACGCGAGTCGGACTCGCGTCGAGCTCGTGGAATAACGCGAGCCGCGCACAAGCCGCGCTAAATCAAACTGAAGCACATGTGTGCAACTGATGCTCGGCTATCGATTGCGTAAATATGCGGTATTGTGCGCTTGAAGCCAACCCTCACTCATCGGGGGTTATATATTCAGTCGAGGTCATGGCGCGTCCGCCCTGACGGCTCACTTTCTCTCTCTCTCTCTCTCTCTCTCTCTCTCTCTCTCTCTCGAATCTTCCGATTCACGAGTCTTCTTCCTCGCTGCACGTGGCACGTGCGCGCAATCACGGTTAATTAGAAATTCAAATAGGCAGATGGCATTAAGTTGCGATTAACTTTGGATAAAGCATTTGTCATTCTCCTTATCGCAAGCACATTCGATGATGAAGTTGGCAGTGAGAAGCCGTACATTATTATCGACGTTTCTTCTTTCAGTATCGAATTAAATTAGCGTTCTCTTTGTGCAGTGCCACGTGTACGCGGTGGCGCATGACGATGACAACACACACAGACCGCGCCTCTTGATTCGTCCTCGCTAATGTCTGAATTTAATGAAATCAACGGCAGCGTATCAGATAATTAAGACACGCGTCCCGTCGAGCTTAGTGCGTTATCCTACGGCGGTTCTTCATCGCCGGCAGACGTCTATACGTGCACGTGTCTCCTGATATCGAATGAAATCCACGTTCACGTAATTGTACTTGCGCAAGGGAGTTTCATTAATGGCGAAATTTTGTTTAAGTCTGGAACTTTGCTGAAATAAAGTACAGAAGCGTTTCCAGGAGTAAAAACGCTGCTGTCGTTAATATCTTGTTGTTTTGCGTTTGACATTTTGTCACAAGTGCTTTATTTCCGCAGAGTTCCCGCCTTTCCAGAATCGACGATCTCTGAGCGTCGCTTGTTGGTATTCAAAAATCGATACGCGGTGCGGACGAATCGCGCCGATTGCATAAGCGGACATTCCGCGCGAAGACGTGGCGCGAGGACGCGTGTGAAAAGACCCAGTCTCGTGATTCTTTGTTTTCTGGGCCATGGTCTCTCTCTCTCTCTCTCTCTCTCTCTCTCTCTCTCAAACTCGAACGTAACGATCAACCCTGCTTTTCCTCTGGCGTCACTCCTATTCCACTTCTTTTCGAGCAAGACGGATCAATCGCCGTCTGCGGATTTCTCAACGCGACGTACTTCGATACTTTCCGCTCGTACTCGAAGCCTCAGTCGAGCGGGAAAATTTCCGCGAGATTATCCGCTCGTTCGCGCAATTAGGCGTGCGCACGTTTACGTTTACCACTTGTTGCAGCGAAATGAACGTGAAATCGAGCGCCGGTTTCTCACAGAAGAACGCTGCCAACGCATTTTGTGGTCGTTTTCTTCGCTGTCGCGTTACGCCGGACGTAACGTGAAAAATTTCATAAAAGGCACCTTGACGTTGATATATCGACATGCTATTTTTACCCTTTTGGAGTGCCACTTTGTGAAAACGAACGTAATTAAAGCCCTCGTTTGCGGCGGCGCTGCAGTTACTTTCATCAGAAAATAAAATTGCCTGGGACAAACGCATTCGTACACACAGCAGTTGCCCACGCCGGCGCGCCTAATTTACGTCGCGTCCTAATTTACGATATTCACGGCGCGATGTTCATTAGGCGGATGAAGGCAGGCGCTTCAATTAATTTTGCTCAATTTACAGCAGCCTTACGCGCGTCCTCGTCGCTCGCGTTTCACAATAGATTATAAAAGCCGCATGCGGTACGTCCGAGCGCCACCCCCTTCTTTGCTCGGTCCTTATCGTCGGCTTTGTTCCTCTCTCGCGAGAGGGGGTTCGCGAAATTAAACAGTCAATTCGCGCTCAGTTATCCCGCGCATATTTATTTGAAGCAGTCACGACAAGTCACGAGGCCCATTAGCTCGATGCTTCGAATGCGCACGTACGTGAGTAATTCCGTTACGTAGGACTTTTGATTGAGGCTGACGTGCTGCGACTTTAATTGTGCGTTTAACCTCATGCCAGATTACCTTGGGTTTTTTCGGTGGACGTTCGACTCGAATCGAAAAGCGACCAGTAGTGCGATTCTTTAACTCGTCATTGCAGTTAACGACAGTTTCGTGATCGTTGCGCAGCTTTTGTATACCGTAGAAAAGCTGCGCAACGATAACGAAACTGTCGTCAACTCCAATAACGAGTTAACGAATCGCACCATAGAAGCGAAAACTTGTCGATGGACGTCTGATACTTGACGTTCGTCTGACGTCGACTGATTGTGTTCTGACAATACGAGGACTAGTTGAAGTGTTTGATAATGGACCGCTTGTGATGAGCGGAATTACGTTGTTTCTTCGTTGCTATTTGGTTTCATCGTGTCGCGAGGAATAGCTTGCATATATTCGCTTAAGGTTGAAGCAATTAACTGTGAATATAAGGAAGCAGATGAAAAATATCTTCAGTATTCTCTCGTATGACATTTTCAAACTTCAACCTTCCATTAGAGTCGTAATTTTTTATCCATCCAATTGTCGCGATGTACTTCACACAAATATATTAATTTCCTCATTATTTTCTTCTGTTTCTTCAATATTTCTTTCATTAGTATCATATATATATATTGATAGACTAGGCTCTAAAATGCATAAAAAACAATAAAATTAACAGATATTACGGTAGGATAAACTTTGAAGGTATATATCAATGGCGACATGTTGTAGTCCGAACATATCTATTGGATATTGCAACTAACGAGGTGTTAAAAATATAAGATTATAAAATATAATAAATATCATAAATTTTTGGTATAAAACATTTTTTCGTATACTTACTTCATGATTTCGAAGAATTCTGTTTTATCGAGTTATCTTCGCGACCCTTAAACGAGCGAGGAGGCAAATACAAAGAAATACATGTTCCTTATTTCTAGCTACTTTAGAACCCATTTAAAGCTCATCAAAGTTGATATATCAACTTTGATGAGCTTTAACATATTATCTTTCCTCGTTATTCTTCGTTTCCTCTAAATAATCAAGGAAATTAGTATATCGCTCACGGCACACTTCTATATGTTTCCTCGTAAGACTAAATAATAAAGGGAACAAATTCGATGCTAAATAAGGATGGGAATCCGTCGTTCGAATGTGTGAGATGTCAGAGCCGACGTTACCCTCTTCGCTACGTCACACTATTTCATCTGTATTCTCAATGTTACGTTTAACATTATCCGACTGACGTCTCTGGTTAGCGATTAATGCTCATCATTCGTGATTCGTA